ATCATAGAAACATAGAATGGGCTGGGTTGAAAAGGATCACAATGATCATTGAGTTTCAACCCCCCTGCTATCTTCAGGGTCGCCAACCACTTGACCAGGCTGACCAGAGCCATATCCAGCTTGGCCTTGAATGCCTCCAGGGATGCAATAAACCTTTATAAATTATTACAGAGGACAAATGCTATCCTTTGTTACTCAACCACATACCTACCCATAATATTGCTGAGGGAGAATCTGAACAGTAAAGGTTGTTGACATGACTCTGGGATAAGGCTGATAGGCGCAGAAGCCCACAGGGGTTCTTGATGCAAGGGGAAAAGCTCAGGCAAGAGTGTCATATTCCTTCAGAACACTTGAACAAGCAACTTGCTCAGCAACAAGGCTTTGAGCTATTTGACAACAGGATCTTCTTCAAGGAATGAGGTCTGGAGGAGAGACGTAAGCTCTGCCTGGCAAAATAGCAAGGAGAACTCCAAACTAAGTTTATCATAGATACAGGTCAAAACCTATAGGTGAATGGGAGAACAGGCCCAGAGAATACCACATGGGGCAGGGCAAAGTTAGTCTATTTTCTCCTTGGACAGTAACATGACTGGAAGCTCAGTTTATGTGCCTGTGCACAGAAATTTGTTACATGGGAAGGAAGCACACTGGACAAAGTGGAATTACACACAAAACTGAGGTGTCACTGAGATTACAGAGAGTTAGTACGAAAGCTCACCTGCCAGGAGTGCTGTGATGGATGGACACAGGCTTTTAGGAAAAGTGAAAACAAAAGGAGAACCTGTACCCCATGCAAAATAGGACCCTGAAGAGGTTTGCTGTACAGAGAGGGAGAAGCCAAAAGGGAAGTCATGTCTGTCTACTACAGACATTAAATGTTAAGAAGATCAAGAAGAAATGATTAAAACTTTAAATTACTAAGCTTCTCAACCATATATTCAGGTTCTTACTGGAGACTTTAATCACCTCAACATCTCTATGGATGGCAGCACAGCAATCCACTAGATTCCTGACTTCACTGGGAAGAATTTTCTTTTTAATGCAGGCATTGGACAAAGCAATTAGGTGTAGAAACAAAGAACAATTCAAAGAAGTGATACTCAATGCCAGCTGCAGTTCTAATAACTACAAGTTGAAAATCCTGAGAGATATGAGGGAGGCAAGTATATTATATTATATATATAACATTATATATTTTAAATATTTATACATGTATATATATATATTTATATAATACATATTTATTATATAATATATTATTATATTATACACTCCTTGGAGTTCAGCAGAACAGTTTTTAACTTGCTTGTGAAGTGGTAGACAGGCTCTCATGGGATAATGCCTCAAAGAGCTAGAGGGCCCAGGGGAGCTTGTTTGACTTCAAGGGCAGCTTCCTCAAAGCTCAAGAGTGATCCATCTCTTTCTGTACATAAATGAGTAGTCAGAGAAGGAGGCTGTTGAGGGCTGAACAGGGAATTCCTGACTGAGGTACTTTATCTCAAATGCAAAACAGTAGCATACAAAAGGTGAAAGAAGGGACAAGCTACTCAACAGGAACATAGAAGTATTGCTGAGAAATATGGAGATAAAAGGAGAAAGGTCAAAACTTAGAAGGAATGAAACTTGTGAGGAACGTGAAGAGTAGGCATTCTAGAAACCATTCTACATGCATTTCTACTTCAAAAGGAAACTGAAGGACGTGGCAGAGGCTGCACTCAGGCTTCTGAATTCACAATACAACTGAAAAGTTCTGGGGAGAAAACTAGTAATCAAAACAACAGGAACAATGTAGGGACTACACAAATAAATAGGATGTGTGCAATTTCATGCTACTTAACAGTACACATCTAGGGGCTCTTGGTCTGCCACAGTGTAAAGCTGTTCTTTAACAATTTCCAACGGCAGTGAAGATTAAGTGTGATTCACAATGACTGGAGAAAAGATACATTTTTATTTCTTGTTTTCAAAAAAAGGCAAGAACAACTCTAGCAACTGCAGATCTCTCAGGCTCACATCAGATCACCATAAGATTATAAAGAATGTCTTTATGAAAATCCTTCCCAAACACATGAAGCACAAGTAGGTGACTGGGAAAAGACGGCTTTTGTCAATGCAAAACTGGGAAATGCCTGGGAAATCATGGAACAGATCATCCTGGAAGACATGTTAAGGCACAGAATCACAGAATGGTCAGGGTTGGAAGGAACCTCAAGGATCATGAATCTCCAAGCTCCCTGCCACATGCAGGGCCACCAACCCCCACATTTAATACTAGACCAGGCAGCCCAGGCCCCATCCAATCTGGCCTTGAACACCTCTAGCGATGCGGCATCCACAACTTCTCTGGGCAGCCTGTTCCAGCATCTCACCACTCTCTCTGTAAAGAACTTAAGGCATATGAGGGATGAGCACGTGATCCAAGACAGACAGCACAGCTTCACCAAAAGGTCATATCTGATCAATCTGTTGGCCTTCTATTATGGAATAACAGCATCGGTGGACAAAGGGAATGCAACTCTCAACTGCAGTTCTGCATCCAAGTCTGGGATCCATAACAGGAAAGATGTGGAGCTTTGGGAGAGGGTCCAGAGGAGGGCCACAAAGATATACGGAGGGATGGGACATCTCTGCTATGAAGATAGGCTGAAGGAAATGGGCTTCAATTCAGTCTGAAAAAGAGAATTCTGTGCAGAGACCTTGCTGCAGCCTTTCAATATTTAAAGAGAGTTTACAAACATGAGGAAAATCAACTTTTTACATGGGTAGATAGTGATGGATTAAGAAGGAATGGTTTTAAACTAAAAGAGAGGAGATTTACATTAGATGTCAGGGGAAAGTTTTTTGTTTTTTACTGAAGAAGTGGTGAGATACTGGAACAGGTTGCCCAGAGTGATTGTGAATGACCCATCCCTGGAGGTGTTTAAGGCCAGGCTGGTTGGGGCCCTGGGCAATATGATCTAGTACTTGATCTAGCAATAGGCAACCCTGCCTATGACAGGGGTGTGTGAACTTGATGACCTTTGAGATCCCTTCCAACCCAAGACATTCTATGATTCTATGAAATTATTCTTGCCCAGCCTGATCACCTTCTCTGAGGAAAGATTTTCATAACACTGTTCCCTACCATATCCCTGTAGCCAAATTTAGAATATGAGGTTTGGATTTGCATGAAAAACTGACAAGACCATCAGGTCAGAGGCCAATTGTCCAAACTCAAGCTAGTGGTCAGTTTATTGCAGCATTCCACAGGTATTCCAATTGGGGATGAGTTTATATAATATTTTCATCATGGATCTGGAGTACAGGATTGAATGCACCCTGACGAAGCTTGTAGATGGCACCCTGTAGGGCATGACTGATATTTAGACAAATTTATACAAGATGGAAGAACGAGCAGAGAGGAATCTCATTAAATTCAGAAGAGAAATGTAAAGTTCTGCAGCTTAAACAGGATTGTGCTATTCAAAAACACTTGCTATGCTGCAGCTCTGACAAAATCGTTTAGTGAAGCACAAGCTGAGTCAGTGGTACACTTCTGCAGCAATGAAAACTAGCCTCATATTGGGTTGCATGAGCAAAAACATGAGCCAGCATCTGAAGAGAAACTATTAGCTTATCTGTTTGACACTAGTGTGGCCTTGTCTGGAATACTGTGTCCAATATCCTACAGTCCAAAAACATATTAACAGACTAGAAAAACCTATAGGAAGGCACTAAAGTGTTGAGAAGTTGAAGAGCATAATGTATGAGGCTACAGAATTAGGGAAACAGACTTATCCAGCCTGGACAAAAAAAGGCTGTGAAGAGATCTAATTGCAACTTTTAGTATAGGAAAGATGAAGCCAGAAACTTCTCACAGGTCCACAACAGGGAAAGATGAAATTGACATAATCTGTAACAAGTTAGTTCCACTTATACCTGCACAGATAGCCAGTAGAAATAGATTTCCAGAGAGATGTTAAAATCTCTGTCCATGGAGAAACTGAAATCTCAACTAGAGAAAGACCTAAGAAACCTGACCTAACTTTTCCCTACCTTGAGAGGAAATGGGACTAAGAAGGACTGGACAGCCAGACGTTCCCTCCAGATTGTCTTATTCAAAGATTCTTAGGCTGAAGATTTTGAAGTATTTCTTTCTAAAAGAAAGTTTCCAAATGTAGAAGTTTACATAAGTATTTGTCAGATCCTGCTATTAAATTTTGATGAGTATCTCCCATGTAAATGAAAAGAAAAAAAAGATTAGCAGATTTTAGAATTTGCTACCTCTGAATATAAACTCTGGACAATCATTGCTTCTGAATTGTGATTAATTACAGTACGGTGGAAATTTTTAGAAAGTATATTGGTTGTTGTGGTTTAACCTGGAAATCAGTTGAGCATCATACACCCATTCACACACTCTTCCACAATGGGACTGAGGGGAGAAACAGAAAAAAAATTAAACTTATAGGTTGAGATAATGATGGTTTAATACAACAGAAAAATATGGGAAATAATAATGAAATAATATACAAAACAAGTGATGCACAATGAAACTACTCAACAACTGCTGAATGATGCCAGTCACATCGTGAGCAGACAACCACCCCTCCCCACCCCTTCAGCCTCCCATACTAGTCAATTCCCTCAGTTAAACTGTTCAGCATGATAACATATGTTATGAGTCATCTTTCGGGCCAGTTTATGTCATTTGTTCTCATTCTATCCCCTCCCAGCTCTTTGTGATCCCCCAGCTTTTCACTGGCGAGTCAATATGAGAAGCTGAAACATCCTTGACTTTAGTGTAAGACTGCTTTGAAACAACTAAAACATCATTGTGCTATAAATGTTATCCTTATCCTAAATCCAAAGCACAGCACCATACCAGCTACTAGGAAGAAAATTATCTCATGAAAAAGAGTTACTTAAACAAATAACCTATCTAAAAATAAATTTACTTCATTTCCTGTTTAATAGATTCTTGATATTTTAAAGATATTTCATGTCTTATATTTTACCTCTGCAAAAAGGAACTGGAAAATCCCACGATGCACCATTTCCAGGACTCACAATGCATGTCAACATGGCATGGCCTTCTAAAATGTAACCAGAGATACAGCTATATCGGATTTTATCTCCAATGTTGAATCTTGTTCCATGAAGTACTCCTTTAGGTATTTCTCCTGGGTTGCCACATGTATGACTAGGTAATACTGTTAAAAAAAAAAAAAAAAGGAAAAAAGTTTTTGATAGAATTTGCAGAAAGAAGTAATAAATACCAGGCAAACAATTGTCATTAACTAATTGCTTTAATTTTTGTTTTAAACAGTATTCTTTACACAAATAAAGTGAAATGCATTGTATTTTTAAACAAAGAGCAAACTCTCCTAAAAGATATTTTTTTTAAAAAAGGAAGTTTCATTTACATCATTCTTTTATGAAATAAATCTCAAAATCTTCTACAAATATTAACCATATAACAAAAGTCATGTAACACTCTAATGAAAAATGAGATAGATGAATATTCTACCAATGCAGCTGATTGAAATAGTAAAGTTTCTATGCATTATAGGAACTACTTATGGTTGAATGAGTACCTACCAAAGCTAGAAACAAACAATATTATACTCAACTTCTTTTCTGCTGCTTCAACAGCCTTTAGAGACTAGGATATTAATTTGGATTATGCTCAACCACACTGAAGAGAAAGCTGAAGTTCAACTCACATATATGAGAATGAATACATATAAAATTCCTTACACTAAAGGAAGGTGATTTTAAGACATGGAAATAATTGGAAGAATACAGAAAGTAACTTGCCTTCTAAAAAGTTGACACCAATGATCCATTATATTCTACAACTATGCTTTATATCCTATATACTACTCTCTCTCTGCAATTTTTCTCCTTTAAGCTCTTCTAGTCATGGTAGGTTAATAGAGGTAATTTTGCAAAACAAGTCAAAACAATTTTTTTTTTTTTTTTTTTGCACGGTTTGGACACAGGAGAGTGCCTACATTTGAAACAAGAGTCTCTTTTGTTTTTATATTCAAGTCAAAACACTTTTTAAAAACACTATAAAACAAGGTAGTTTCGTCCTTATGCAGCAAAATTTACACAACATAGAGCTCAGCAGTTTTTATTATTATGGGTGATCATGCTACCAGAAAACAATTCAAAAATACAATGATTTCTGATAAAATACAGTCCCAATGAAGGGCTATCAAGGCAGACCTGCATTATTCTTACACATGACAACTGGCAATGGCTAATCGTTGAAATTGTATTGCAACAAGTTAGCCTTCTGTCTTTGTACAGGTAAGTTTTTTTCTTTTTTTTTTTTTTTTTTTTTGTTTGTCAAGAAGCCCCAGAAAAAAATGGAATTTGGCATCCTGAAACCAGCATGCATTTTACCATAACTTCCTAAGAAACAATAAGAGATGAGTGATCTGAGAATGACAGCCATGTTCAATAATACATGTAATAGTTCACAGGATTTCACCACTTGTCAAGATCAAGCATTTAACTACATTATTTATGTGCTTTTCTAAAATTTTCATTGAAGTATATTGAGGTAGCTCCAGTATTCCCTTCGCATACATTTAACTGTTTCTAGTCTGGATCTAAAATGAATTATCTTTTGAAGGTTTGTAACAAAAATAATTTTATCTTTGGATTATGACAGTAGGAGCCAAGCAAAGCTATCATATGCAAAGATTACGTAAGTTCATTATTGCCAAGTTTTTAGCAAAAGACTCCCATTTTTCTAGGGTTACTGGAATTTACTTTCAACAGGATTGAGAATCTGCAGTTTCCTGCTTAAGGAAGCAAGGTGAATCGCTAATGTTTGAACTGTGAAATCATTTGATATTTATTGTATGCTAAGAAGAATTTCAGATTATGCTGCATTAAAACACTGAGGCTAGTGGCTTTTCTAGATTTACACAACTTGTTAGAATACTGTCACATAGAATGCTTTATTTTATTTTATTATTTTTATGTCCCTCAACACAAAATCCAAACATACACGAAATCCAAATCAAATAAAAATTGTTAAATAAACCTCATTGAACACAAGTTCTCAGGTGGCATCTATCAGATTATTTATTTACACGGTCTTTTTAATATTTTTTTGCAATACAGACCCTTTGAGAGCATATTCATAGCATCTTAAACACAGCTATCTTTTGCTTTCACTGATGGAGTTTTCTTTATTGGATATACTAGATTTAATCATCCATTCCTTTCCAATCATATCCACTCATTGTAACAGAGAAAGGTGGCCTAAAATTAGACAGCATTGATTGATAAAGAATATATATATATATTCTTTATCAATCAGCTTCAGTATCTTTATCAATCAGTATCAATATATATATGGAACTGAATAAAATATTGAATGACTATTTTATTCCATCTAAGTTTTCTTAATGTCATTCTGATGATCTTACTATGCTTATTAAACTCTAATGTAAGAGTCTTAAACATAAGCCGTACCTATATATTTCTGCCATGTTTACTTCAAATCTGTCATGAAAACTACTGCCAACAAAATGACCTGTTTTGGTAGGATTTATTTTGGATTAAAAGGTCAAATAAAAATATATACATAATCTAATATATTTTAAAGATTTCGAGGTCTCTGGCATGACAACTTCTGTAATTAGGCATCTAGATTTGAAATCAGTTATAAAACTATGAAAATTACCTTCCTAATTATTGCTGAAAATAATGGTTGGAAGCTCAGTCTGGCAGTTACTTCAGCAGAACAATAATTGTTTTTGATGTTTTTTGTTTGTTTTTTGTTTTTTACAGATATCACAATCAACAGCTATATTGCAAAAACTGCCCAGAGGCCTTAATATCAAAAAGCTCACACTACCATTCTCACTTAAAAGATATTGGTTTTATCCTTTTGTGAGTCACTTGGTAAGTTTTTACAGCCAATAATACAAATGGTAGCCAGAACTTGAAAACAAAAACTGAGAAGGTTTTTATTGAAATTAGAAAAAAAAAAAAAGAAAAGAAAAGAAAGCAAGGAGCAAGGTTTTTCCTCAACTTATTTCTATAGCTTTATAAAACTTTACATGTGTAATATGTTCTCTTTCCTGTTCTTCCTGAAAAGACTGAAAAAGTTTTCCAAAGTTGCACCTATGGTCAACAAAATATTATCACAAACATAGTTATTTTCTGTTGTTTCATAATCCCTCTAATTACAGTCCACTATCCCTTATACTGGGGGCCCAAAGGAAAAAAACACACATAAAGGAAAAAAGCTTAAGAAGGGGAAGAAAAAGCCCCACAAACCTGTAAGGAAGAAGCCAGAGACTGCTAGAGACAGAAGCTTTGGAATTGCAAAGTTGGTAGGAATTTTAGTAATAGGGAGAAAATCAGATACATAGAAATATCCAGGACTGATGTCAGGTTGTTTCATCGATGTGATGAAGAACACATGATTTCCTGCCCGCGTGACTAACTTACATAGTGGACTCCAGTTTTGTGCATAAATTTAACATAAATGTAGAACTATTCTTCCAAACCAATAGAAAAAGAAAACAATTTGTAAGGAAAGCAATAACTGTACTCATTATAAAAAGAAAAGTGCTAGCACAGAGGAGAGGAAAATAATACTAGATTTTCTTATACAAATGGAATTGAAACAAAAATCTATGTTTCAACTCAGAAAAGTAGCCTAATTTGAAAAGGAATATACAGAAAAAAATAATAGCCTTTCAATCTACAAAACTAAAAGTGCTGTACTAAACAAAAGATGGATTCAAATACGTTTTATGATTCTATGTATATGCATATATATACACAACTACATGTACGCACCGCATTTAAATAGTCTGTTCTGAAAATAATATAAATCACTTTTCCAAAGGATAGGTAGTTAAATTTACTTTGAAACATTAATTTTGAAGAATACTAGACAACACACTTGCCATTTCTACCTACTTGCCATTTCTACAAAGTCAATATAATGATTTTTTTTTTTTTTAATTTCTAATGCCTTATATTAAACTCCATTAAAGTACATTTTGACCTTTCTTTTTTAAATAATTATAAATGTTGAATCCATTGAAAAGCATGTAATATTTCACTGTCCATTTATTATACTTTCTCCTTTTTATTTCCAGAAGCAATGTACAATGAATAGGTAACTGATCTATCAGTTCTGACTTCCACACTGGTATGGAATACAGCAAATGGATACAGGTCATTTGTTACAGAATTATGTAGTAACAGAAATAGCACAGTCCTATCCTTTTTAAAATTCTCCCCAACCACCTCTTCGGTGAAAAGCCTTTTCCTAACACCCAACCTGACCCTCTCCTGATGCAGCTCCATGTCACAGCCTCAGGTCCTGTCCACATCACCAAAGACAAGAGCTCAGTGCTACCTAAGCAGTACCAGGGAAGGTTACAGAAAAGATCATCTTGAATGAAATCACACAGCATGTGTGGGACAACCAGGGGATCAGACCCAGCTAGTATGGGTTCATGAAAGGTAGGTAGGACCAATCTCATTAGGTGGGTTGGACCATCAAGGAATCAACTAGTAACCAGTTGCCAGTTGAGCTTTTTATTGGTGCTCATAACACTCTGAACCTTGCAGTTCAGCCAATTTTCTCTCTGCTTCAGAATCCATTTACCCATTTCATGCTCCAATGGCTCTTACTACAGTGCTACTGAGAGCTTTGTCAAAAGTTTCATTGATATGGCAAAGAATGTCTACTGTCCTCTGTTAGTCCTCTATGTGAGCCATTTCTTTCCAGAAGACAGTCAGATTGGTCAGACATGATTCACAACTAATTATTTCATATTTGATGAGACACTAATGCAACAGTGTCTGCTTTGATGGAAGTGGTTGCAATTCTGAGTGAGCTCTCACTGTGCGTGGCAGAGATTTTTGATAAAATTTTATTCTTTTTGGACCTTTAGTCTGTTTAGTAAAGAAACATGATCAAATTTTTGAGTTGAATGTCTGACTGCAGGTAAAGAATTTATATCAACAGAAAATGAACAAGTGAATATACCCCAAAATTGATTGATTTTTTTTCTTCTAACCTTGAAAGCGCGGATTCCTTTATCAAAATGGAAAGTAAGACTGCATATTTTCTGTTGTCCACAACACTGTGTTTAACTGTGTTTTAAGTTAGCACTGCACTGCATCCTCCCATATCCTAGTTTCTAGCTCTGACAGTACCAAA